AGAGAGAGAGAGAGAGAGAGAGAGAGAGAGAGAGAGAGAGAGAGAGAGAGAATATGGGCCTATGGAAACAACTTTATGTGTTATTATATAATTTATCGGTGGGTTAAGGCGTCCGTGATGATTTACAAATTATCAGATTAACTTTGACATTCCTTGCTGCCCACTTAAAAACAAAACCAGTTCAATGCGATAAAAGTAACGCCAAAGCAAAAGCAAAGAAAGAAAACAAAAGTGTTTCTACCGGTTTGAACTGAACAATTTAGAGACTTATGGCCAGGCCTATAGTTCAGCAAAAAAGGGTGCAGTGGCGTAGCGGTTAGTGCGCTTGTCTCCGAAGCGGAAAGTCTGGGTTCAAGCCTCGGTTTGGAAACGGATTTTTTTCGCGCCCCTGTCCACCCAGTAGTAATGGGTACCTGACTTCGAGTTGGGAAGGTAAAGGCGGCATGGAAAGGAACTGGCTACCCTACCACAATATTATTATGCCGAAGGCCCAGGAAGTTGTCTCACTAACAAGGTAATCCCCAATGTCCGGATCGGATGCGGGAACAATTTTACTTAGTATAACTTGACCCAGCATCGTAGTACCGTAATATCTCCTGACAGTCAAAAATCTTACCTTCGGTGTGAAAATCCATGGTCGAATTATTGTTTTAAAAAACAAGTCGCAACAAAACAAATGGCACAGATTGAAATTTTGTTTTAACTCATGATGAAATTGAACAAGGCTGTTAAGTAAAATTCTCAAGTTCTCTTGTTTGCTACTAAAATACGAAATGACGATTTTTGAAAGTAGCTGGTCTTATATAGATCTAGAGTCAAGACAAGGTAACCGTTTCGTTCTAAAAATAGACAGTTTTCGAAAGCAGCCATCGAACTTTATTTGCACTGCCACCTAATGATGTACTCATTTACTTTCCGACCATAATCATTCTTCTCCACGGGTGATCGAACTCTGTCAGTCAAATAATTAATCAATGAAGGTCAAACATGTCGTTGAGTGGTGTCCGGGAATCCGAACTTCCTACGTCACTTTCAGAATCAGTTTGCTCTTTCCCTGGGCGTTGCTTCTGTTCCTCTTGTCATTAATACTACTGCCGCTGTTGCTATTGGTGTTGTTCTTTTTGCTGCTGTCGCCGCAGCTGCTGTTGCCGGTCAGTGTTGCGCTACTGTCTGCTAAGAATTGGTATTTTTTCTTTCTGAACATGAGTTTCCAATTATTACTGCGAGCCTTTCTACATTGTTGCACGGGTTCAAAATTATTTCAGAGGTTGAAAATAATTCTTCAAGCAAGTAGATTACCTACCGTTATTATAAGACTTGTTTTAAAGCCGTTTTGAAATTAAGAAGGAAATTGAAAAAAAGAGGGGTGGGTAAATGTAATTTAACTTCCAGAGCGCACAATCAGAACCCAGACTTTCTAGACTCCTAGAGGTCACTGCAGTGTCGCTGCTTCAGCCGTTGACTGTTATATGACATGATAATCCCGACAACCTCCGCCCGAGTGTGACTGTCAGTTTGACAAGATTCGGTGATGTCATATGATCTCTTAGAGTTCTACTGGGAAATCCCCAACCAAATTTACCTGGATGTTATTATAACTAGTCTGTTCATTCCTCCCCCGCAAATGTAGTCCAGGGTGTAGGCCTACCTTTCAAACGTCCCTGCTTTCTTTTCAGAACTAATCCCATAAACCCAAATCTTCTTTCACTTCTACGGGGGGGGGGGGGGGGGGGGGGGTTCGCTTCGCCGTCAATTTCTATGATGAAATGTTAATGTTTTCTTTTCGTACACTAAGAAGGACAAGAATCAGATAATTGAGTTTCCGGATATGAGGTAATATTGCAGAGAATTTTTGTTTGTTTGTTTGTTGTTGTTGTTTGTTGTTTATCTTTTTTGTATATGGGGTTGTTGTAGGTTTTTGATTTGTTTTGTTGTTTTGGATTGGGTTTTGATTTTTTTTTTTGGCGGGGATAGATTGATTGGTTAACTGGTTGGAAGTATTAAAGCAAGGCTGTATGTGTCTCGATTGGGCTATGTTAAGTTTAAAGATACTCCATGTATGTCCCTGTGTCGTTCGGGTGATTTGTCTCGTATGTACCTGCAGCGTGAGCGTGACGGGAATTTTACAAAGTCAAAGACTGTTCTAAACAGATAACACGTTAAATCCTTTAAAAATCGAAGATTTATGAAGACTCGTATGAAGCTAGCTTAAAGAAAACATGCACACGATATCAGAGGACTGTGCGGATGTCATGCTGTCCGCGCACTTTCCTGCAATCTTTCTAGGGTTGGATGGTCTACACTTGTGAATCTCTGAATAACTTTAGATTTTAGATCGTGCCGTACAGTAGTGTGGCCAAAAGAAAAATGACAAAGTACCAAAATATAATCTTATATTTTCTGTGATTTCATTCACGGCCTTTTATGAATATTATAAGCAATGTGGACGCCAACACCCGTTCTGGGCGTCCACTGTGGTGATGTTTAGTATTACCTGAACATTCTCGCACAAGTTTGAAATTCGAAATAAAGGGGGGGGGGGGGCAAATGTTATTTTGCACTACAGAATTGCCGTGAAACCGAATACATTTACGAGACGGCACATCTTGAATAAAGAAAAGGCTGACTGTAACTAGCAGCAAAAAACAAAGACACGTACTTGCAAAGGAGACTAGGCGGATCGAAAAGTTGTTTTCAGAAGAATGTAAATGTTGTTGACATAAGGGAAAACAAAACTGGGAAGCATCCTTCGAGCGACATAATCTAGAATTATCAAAGTTTTATATGTCTTACTGAAAAGAGGCAAATGCTACCCTAAACCTTTTACGATTCCAGAGAGAGATATACATTGTCAATCTGGCTTCTGCACCAAGAAAAATCGTGAAATGGTATAGGTTTAGCGCTCCTATAAACACTATTCAGTTATTTAAAATGCGGGACCTCCGAGTTTAACGTCCATCACGTAAAGTGCCTTTCCCAAGGACACAATGTCAGATCGAGCTGAGGCCCAAACCCCCCGAACCTTCAATCTCACGGTTATACATACGGGTCCGATAGCCTATCTACTAGGCTACCGACAATACCATGAACAAAGAGAAAATTGTAGAAATGAGAGACCTGGAAAAGGAAACTCCTTTCGTTTCTGCACATCGTGTCCTTCGTCATTCGAGTAGCCGTCTGTTGTTTTCAGATATTTTCGCAAATAAATACTTGGCAAAGAAGGTATTTATCCTGTGCCGAATGAGGAGTAATTTAGAGTTTTGTCGACCTGCAGGGCTGGAGTAATCGGGATGAGCACAAGCTACTTTTGAATGTGGCATGGGTGGACAGGCCATATTTATTGTCTAGCATTTTGGTGACTTTTCCACCGTGCCGTATATTTTTTAAAAAGATATTTCTACTGATGTTTTTTTTTGCTATCTATGAAATTGCCCAGGATTTTGTTTCAATGGTTGCCATTTAATAATTTTGATGGTTTCATAGGTCTAGTTGTAAATAGAAAGAGAACATTACTCCCATGTAACATTGGCTTACCTATTGCAACTGGAAAAAGGATTAAAACTGTAAAGATCTGCGTGGTGCTCACTGACAGTGTCGCCATTGTTGTTTTTAAAGTTGATAGTAGTGTGATAGTTGTGGAAATTGTCGGTGTCGACTCGATCATCTGTACGAAGCTGAATTGCTTACTACGGATCTCCTGAACTGTTTTATATTCTTGCAACCACCGAAACTACAACCCTGATTTGACATTATTTATGTTTAAGCGGCTGTTTTGATTTCCCCACGAATCCTGAAAGCGAAATGACGGATTGGGATGCTAAATTTGTTTTCGGTGCCATTGGTCAGTTTTCCGAAAGTCGGGGGAACATCGTTCTCGTGAAATTCCCAACACCGAGACAGCACTCAGCTTCACTACCTTGGATATCAGTGTGACCTATCTCTCACCTCACCCTTTTGCTCTTGTTAGACGATATGAACCGTCACTGCGTGATGTAGTTCAAGAACGTTAAGACAACCTTTATCATATCAGCCGTCTCAACAGCGATCAGGACAGATGACAAGGATATCACTTCGATTTGGGAATGCCCAGAGATAAATGGGTAGTCGCGATACTTGCTATCAATAGCCCGCCCCCACTCAAGGAAGCTGTAGATGGATTTCTATTCTCGGTTCTCAGAAGCGATGGAGGGATACCAAGAGAGCTATTGGTCGAATTGTACGTTAATCTAAAAATACGCTCTCGAGATCAATATTATGACGACATGCTGTACGCACGGCTCACCTACGATTGCTAACATGAAGCGTGAAGTTATTTGTGAATTGTTTAATATTTTTGTTCATTCCACATTAAATACAGATTAAAGGAGGGGAAGAGAGGGGGGGGGGGTCTTTTGTTGATGTTATATTAATTTTTGTTGTATTGACCCAAACACTTGGAAGGAGAGCTTATGGGGCATTTGTCCAGGTACCGAGCTTAAAGATTAGAAATTTCACTTGAATATCCCGAATCTTCAATGACCCATCAACCAACAATTATTGTCCTGTTCCCCAACAGCAAAATATGCCCACCCTCTTGTTGCGCTCACGGATTTCGCTAGCTCACAGAAACATGCGTTGGAGAAAGGGAGAATGTCAAATAGGAGAAAACAGTTGGTTCTGCTATCTGCAACAGGCAAAAGAAGCCGAGGAAACGACGCACCACCACACAAGGGAAGGCTGCCCACATACCTTGACCCCACAGTTGCTTCAAATTTGATACCTGTTTACTAGCGACTCACCGCTGATAAGCTTATGGAGAAGTGTGTGCCTGGCATGCAACAAAATCAGAAAAAGGGTTGTTACCCTCAGATCTGGTTGAAGCGCTGACAAAGACGGTCTTTGGGACCAAACCACGAGTGGAATTTGTTTCAGCTACCACGGAATGGAATCTGGGGGTCCTTGGCATATAGACCTGTACTTAGGTCTCAGCCTAATTCCAGGAAAGTTTCACCAAGAGGGACTCGAATAAAGAGGGCAGAAATTGCCAGGGAGGTGGAGTATGGCTAAGAGATGCCAGCAAAGAGAGGTGGCAGGTAAAGAGGAAAGGAAACGTCTTTTAGAGGTGGAAAGACGAACAGGAAATTAAGGCTTCTCTACTGCCCAGAAAGAAGGACTCATTAGATGTATAGTGTTCATGCTACAATTTTTGTTTGTGCTTTCCTCTTTCCGCTAGGTGTAGTCACATGTTTTTGACAAGTTTCCCCCAATTATCTTTAAGTTGTTACTACCACTAAATTGATCTCTCAGTAGCATCACTACCCACCGTATGGTTCTTTTTTTCTTACAATAAGATATCAAAGTATTGGGGGTTTTTCCCCTTGCCCATTTATATGAGATTGACGCCATTTAATTAGTAGAAAAAAGTGCATATGATAGTGTCCAATAATTGTATTACGTGCATACTTAGTATAAAAAGTAACTGTAATAGCAGATAGAGATTCCAGGATTATAGATGTAAGTCATTGATCTGAGAGCGGTAATGATTTTAGATATAATGGTGGTAATGATTGATGATGAGGGATTGCGTTTAAGTAATGTTAGCGTTAGTCCTATCTTCTCTGCTCCAATGAGTCATGAGGGACGTGTGGACCCTCTATCCCGTTCCCTACTGGAACCATCTTTACGGTCACCGTGAAGTTCCGAAATGGTGGACTCAGTCTCTGCTAAGGTGACATTGTTAGTGTTAGCCTATTCTTTCGGGCCAAGACAAGTGTCGAGAGGAGCTAAGTGGGAAGACAGTAGAGTGGCAGGCGTGTTGGGGTATTTGTAAGCGGGTTGTGGGTAGCAAGTTGGCAGATTATGATCTTTAAGATTGCAGCATTCTACTCCCTGATCATTTGCCACAAGTATTCTTTTCGAGTCCAATTGAGCTTATGGAGATTCTGATACAGGATCCTCGAACCCGAGTCGAGAAGGCACAATTTACACATAATGTTGTATCCAGTCGCCTCAGGGGGAGCGACCTCAAACTCCCAAATCAAGTACCCTGTGTCTGATTCCCCAAGGTTTCGTCCAATATTGATATAATTCCAATGCTAACGTTGGAAGCAATTCCTACTTTTAACAAGCCAATTTTGTGCAGATGCTGGCTGGGTGTGTTTAATGGTTAGAAATGACTAGAGAGAAAGCGGCAGAGAGAGAGTAAGCGGCAGAGACATACACACACACATAAGCAGACACCTAAACATAATATGTCTGTGTGTATGTGGGAGTGTATGTGCGTGCGTCTATGTGTGTGTGTGGTAAGGTGGGGGCAGACAGTGGATAGGTGGATTCTCCTTTTTTGCATTAAAAAAAACTGGAATAACTAAGGTTGGCGAGCCTGTCTGTGTAATTGTTTCGTTCACCATGGATTTACCCCCAATATTCCCAAACTATTAAGGACACAATGTTTCGATTGGATTTAAAAGTTATTTTCACAGCAAATGCAATATAGACCCACTGGGAGTTTATGCCTCCACTCCTTGCTGAAAAATACCCGAAATTTGGTCCTGTCTTTTGAGTTGACGGACTACAGGCTGCTTAAGATTAAATTTTTGTACCAAGATCCGTGTATGTCTCGTCGACAGGACAGTGATCAGCATTCGACACGTTTCGAGGTGAGATAGGGAGGCTATTTAACCTCTCGGGATGCTGTTGAACTTGTCGGATATGACAGTCTGACAAGATTAAGCTCAGCACGTGGCCTCTGATCACTCTGTATTGGGAGAGAACGGGGGTCTTACTGACGGGGGGTGCGCCATGTGTGATACAAGCCGGATAAGCAGAAGGTGGGTATTTATTTTTATCCCACTCTGGAGCAATAATCATTACAAGGATGAACTGGAAAACACCTCCAGGATGGAAAAAAGAACATTCCCATTCTCACTTACAGCTGTCCCCTTATATGGGCATTGTATTAACGACGTGTGTAGCCAGCTGCCTTCATGTATATTTATTGTTATCGTGACAGGTGACTTAAAAGTAAACCCACTAGCCAACTAGGGGTTATAAATGTTCCACAAACATAGGCGCAACTGCCACACTGGTGGGAGTCAATGATACGCCACAACCTCTCTTGAGCAAGAGTGAAAATAAATCTTTTCTCCCCTCTGTCGTCCTAGGGCCCAGTCCAATTAGCCCCGACTTCAAAATGTGAGGCAGCGTGGTGGAATCAGGCTCTCGTCAATTTTTGGGCATACAGAGTTATTGGTATCACCTTAAAGCATATTCACTTGTCTTTATTTGGATGAAAAAAATATCCATTTATCTTGAATACTAGTCGAGATATATGCGAAAGAAGGAGGTGGGGGTCACCTGTTTTCAGAGGTAACATGAGAAAATGGCCGCAAAGATTAGTTATTTCCTTAGCTTAAGAGTCCGTGGTAACTGAAAATTTACATTTTTTTTGTGCCTTTAATCAACGTTTTTCAGAAAAATCCACACAGAAATGAGTTCTTTTAATGAGCATGAAAAGTGTTGAGCCAAAAAACAAAAATTTGATAAAAATTCACAA